AAGGAAAGAAACGACTTTCATAGACTAATCAAAGGGTTTCTTAGAAACAAGTTTTTATTTCCGTGAAAAAGGAAAAGTTAAGTGCAAATTAAGGTAGAGTTTAAAGTCCTCCAGGGCGTTAACATTGGTTTGTCGTTACTTAAAGATATTTGCTGTTTTATACCGTCTTAATGTATAGCGTCACTTACTAGTTGAAGAAACACGTGTCCTTTGTCTCCCAGTTAAGATTTTATATCATGAAATGTGCACGTGCGCTCTTTTTGATTGATTTTTGAGTTTAGATGTGAGTATGTAAACACTGCTGTGAAGTCACGCATTTTGCGAGAAACATCTCGAAGTTTTCGCGCATAGAAAAGTCAAAGAAATATATTAAGGCAAAAGAACTTTAAGGCTTTGTTTGCTTCAATAATCTTAACCTGGACGACTTCGCTGAGGTAGTTTTAAGTAATTTTGGAGAATTCCTCCAACCCAAGAATTTAGGTGACGTTATGCAAACATGAAAAGATTCCCTTGTTGCTTGAGAATGCGAGCTGACTGATTGAACAAAATGTACACAGTGGATGATATTCCTTGACCTTGTTAAAACTTCCTGCTTTTCTACATTTCACTCTTAGCGCCAACGAGAAAATAGGAAAAGACGCCAATCTCAGAATTTTAATGATGTCGTACGTATCTTGCAGAGTCAATACCTATATCAAAGCTTTTTGGGAAAAGAATTAATTTCACGTTAGCGAATTTCACAAGCATGGAATTGACCAATGACATAATTTTTCGAATCATCCCTGTATCTTTTTTTCGCTTCAGTGAATTAATTCTTTGCGTGCATAGCTATTTGTAATCTTCTTTTGACCGTACCCTCATTAACAATTTATCTCTCAGCTCAGCGAAGAATTTTTCGTAAACACAATCAACTCTTTATAAAACATTGATGGCCTCAAAATTCTTGAAAAAAGAAATTTTCTTCGAAAAGATGATTGCGTCATAAGTCCCGCTGTGCTATTTTGCATTTTGCGTGTCACCGTCGAAACACTCCGTCGCATTTCAATTCCTTCAGGACCTCCAGCGATGCAATTTTTTTTTCGCTGGGACTCGATGGACACCAACCTAGATTTGAGGAATCATCAGTCAGTCCCAGCAAAATAGCGCAAATTCTGGTAAGCAAAGAATTTTCTTTGTACCCGAAAGGCAATTTTTCATAGGAGCAATTGAGCTAATTTTAATTTCATGGTCCTTTCATGATTCTCATTGGAATCGTTCCTCGCCGTTATAATACAAAAGTCCTGATCTGAGAAACTGGCTGCTGTGTTCCAAGGAGACGACTTTATCCGTTAGCTCGTTACCATGGCGAAGATACGGAAGAGAGAGTGCTTTAAAGTTCGGAAAGAAGACTTTGAGTAATAATCAAGGGCGTAGATACTGAGGAAGACAAACAAGCACATGTCGTCACCAAATCCCTTACGAGGCCATAATGTTATTAACAATGGTGTGAAGGACATTTACCGTAATATTATAAAACGGTTTTTCGATACCGTCATTAAAGCGTATCTCAATAACAATAAGTATAAATAAAGTTGAAAAGGGTGGTCTGCCTGCAGACTGCATACTTTGGACCGCACCTTTGCCTAATGAAACAAAGAGAAAAATACGAGAAAGCGCTGTGTACATCCCAGAGAAAGAGATTTATAGGAATCATAGAAAAAGCTGAAAGATTCAGTCGGGCTGGAAAAAATTTTAAAGGAGGTGGAATATCCAACTGTTGAAAAAAACTTTACCTGTACCACTGTCGCAAAAAAAAAATCCTTTGATCAAGAGGCTATTGGAAATTCACAATTGGTCAAGGAAGCGAAGGAGGCCGCTAAAACTTACAAAGAGAAGAAGTTTTACGAGGGAAAACCATCAGCTACCGAACAACCCTTAGAAATGCTGATAAAAGAAACTTCTAAGCAGAAGGCTTGTGAATCTAACACGTCATTCAAAGAGGGCAGATTAGTGGAAATCGGAATAGAAAGTGAGACAAGAAAAAGAGGACACGGTGAAAATGAGGAGGGAGAAGGCTCAAGATATGTTACTTACCCTTTCACTCCCGAGATCTCATCAGTAATTCTCCTACTATCTGCCACACGATTCTTATGATGTTTGTTTGGAGAATTTGGTATTGGATCAGCTTGTAGTCCCCTAATTGAGTTTTCTTTTTTATTCTCCTCATTTGTCTGCTTGATATTGCATTGACACTGTGAGGAGAAATTTTCTCTTGGTCACTCATGGGCGTTAAAGGGTTAAACGAGAGTGTTCTATCTATTATTAGTATAATTGTTCTGGTGAATATACAGATGCACGCGCTCTGATTTGTCGAAGATTGCTTCATATCTCGCCATAATCACCTCGCGCGAGGTGATTATGACTAGATGATCATGACAAAAGCGCTAAATTTTTATAATTTAATATAGCTGCCTCTTGTTTAGTCAGTGTTGATGAGGAACTGATGATCGTGATAAACAAAATGTATTTCCGAAGAGCACAAAAGATGCTAATAAGTTTGGAGATCCCACCACTCAATAGAAAGATATGAAGTATTTGCTGATTGAACTAAAATAAACCTCTCAATTCTCGTGAAAACTGCCTCTTTATACGATGAATCAAAATACTGAATTGAAACAGAATGCTTTTAGCATCAAACGGATATTTATAACACAATCAGAAAGCACCTAGGCAATTATATCCAAAAAATAATTCACCTGCCTGCGAATAATTGTTAAAAAGCGACATCCTAGAAAGGTGAGTCGAAAACCTAAAGGAATAAATTCGCTTTGGAAAGGATTTTGAGATTTCTGAAGAAGAATATCAGTAAGCTGCAGCTAATTAGCTTTCTCCCTACGATATTTAGTCCTCCAGGATTTCTTTTTTCATTTCAAACGCATCATTTTCACAATTTAAACGATCACATCGAAGATTCGACGGAACTACCCCAAAGGGCGAGAAAAGCTTTTTCGACTCTTACAAGGATTTTGGAAAAGGCAAGAGATCGATCCAAATCAAGCTTCACACTATTGTCTTAGAGATACCTCGACTTACAGAAAAACTGAGGAGAAGCATTAATACTATTTATACTAATATTAATACGATATGAATACGATGGTGTAAACGTTCATTTTCGTAACGAGCTTTCCCAGTTCATCAGAGTTCTCGCGTATAGATAAAGTTTATCATATGAACTACGGTGTTATACAAGGATTTCCAGCCCTGAGAAAAGCCGGAACAACATACGTGAAAAAATATCGTTTTTATTTCACCTGTGTTTGATATCGACAATCAGCTGCTGACACATCACTCACCTTTCGCATCTCTCGGTCAAGTTGATGAACGAACGGCGAAGCCTTCAACGTCCTCAATCCAAGGAGGTTTATCGGAATTTTTTCAGATTATGGCTTCTAAAACACTTCAAAAATCCGCACCGCTTACAGACAGTGACATTCAAATTTTCCTAGAGAGGGAAGATAACAAAAGACGGAAAGATAAACCGAAAGTTATGTATTCAGTGGCTTTGGTGATGGCCTTTCTCGCGGCTGAGAACGAAAATCGACAGCTGGACGATTTGCCACAGGTCGATTTTGGCCGTGTACCTGAAAGATTTCTTCTGTTGGTAAGGACCAAGTCAATAACTGAGAATTTTTTATATATTTAAAATTACGCCCATTTGTTTTTGCAGTGTTTCAACGCATTTTTTCATCTTGAGTCCTAGCTCCAACGTACTTTACGATTTTTATACAGGGATTGTCGACCTCCTGTTTTAATTCACTAATAAAGTTGAGTTGTCTTGTCGGTAAAGGGGTATTGTGATTGTGTGTATATAATAATAAAAACAATATCCCACATGGATGCTTGCATGGATGCCCATGTTCAGCTCGACAAATCACTCGTTCGCTGCACTTACTCGTGAGCTTTCGAGTTCAACACTCGAAGAGAAATTCAATACCTACACGCGCCCATGTATTATTTTCTATTGTTTACTACTATTATCATTATCATCATTATCATAATTATTATTATTATTATACATGGACGCTTGCATGGATGCTCGTGTTCAACTCAACAAATCACTCGTTCGCTGCGCTTACTCGTGAGCTATCGAGTTAAACACTCGAAGAGAAATTCCATATCTACACGCGCCCATGTATTATTTTCTAATGTTTATTACTATTATTATTATCATCATTATTATTATTATTATTACAAAGGAGCATGTTTTGTTTGTTGACTATCAGGCTTACAAATAAATATTACACTTCTATCGCTGCGTGCATATGGTGAGGGAGATGTTTAAAGCTATACGCATCTCATTGAGAATAGGAACACTGGCCTTAAAAGGTTAAAAAGAGTTCAACTTGGGACTCCCCTGTCAAACTTCCAATTTATCGCAAAATTGCCACAGACTTCGTGGAAAGCTAGATAACTGTAGTGTCAATGACCGTAATAACAATAATAATGATCATAATAATAATGATCATAATAACAATAATAATAATAATGATAATAGTAATAATAATAATGATAAATGTGATGTATATATTTACAGTAGTACCGACGATGATAATGCTATAAAATTGATAGCAATATCATGAGTAACATAATATTATAATAGAAACGATCTTAAGAAAAATGAGAATAATAGTGAAAATTAAGCACTCCAACTGCAAATTGAGGATTTTCACAAAGCCAAAAGAAAAATGCTTCGCACAATCCATTTCATGGTTTAATAATCTAAAACGTTCTTGAAAGGGGAAAGCCCGCCAGACGAACAACAGAAACTTTGAGTGATGGTAAAACCTACATCGGTAATTTTCTTGATCATTATACCGAATGCAAATATAATAAATAATAACAATTACCAGTATTTATATAGCTGACATATCAAAAAGAACTCTCATGGCACTTTACAATAAGTATAAGAAATTAATGAAAATTATTTAAAAATGAACACAATAACTGTTGACAAATATAGAAAATAAATATGTTTTTAGATTCTTTTTAAATAAAGGCAGTGTTCCAACATTTCTGACGTGGTTAGGCAGGCAATTCCATAATTTTGGTGCACAGACTGAGAATGTTCTATCTCCATATGAATTTGTTCTTGATGTTGGTGTTGCTAGGAGTCCTAGAGAACTTGAGCGCAATGCTCGAGATGATTTTCTCTCCTGTAATAGTTCTGAGACATACCCAGGGCACAGTCCATGACGAGCTTTGTAGACAAGGAGTAAAATTTTGAAAACAACGCGATACGAAACAGGAAAACGGTGAAGTTGCTGTAATAAAGGGGTGATGTAATCGTACTTCGAAGAACCAGTGACCAGTCGAGCAGCTGTGTTTTTAACCCTCTGCATTTTTTTAACTTGATATTTGGGTAGACAAAAGTAAAGATGGTTACACTAATCTAGTGTTGTAGTTAGAAAAGCATGTACTACCTTAGAAGTGGCCTCATCTGTCAAATATTTACGAATTTTAAACAGGTTTCTAAAGAAGAAAAACGAAGTTCTACAAGGTTGATTTATCTGATCATTGAACAATATTTCCTGGTCAAAGATGATTCCAAGATTAGTAACTGTTGTAGCCATGGTGAGTTGTTCATTTGCCAAGGATGATCTCGTCCAGTAAAGGGCTATTCCGAAATTTAGAGCGAATTAATAATATTTCAGTTTTCTCTTTGGTAAGCTTTAGCTCGTTTCGCTCCATCCATAAGCAAATGACAAATACACAGTCAGCAGTCCGATCAGTAATCGAGTCAATGTCATCATTCTTGAAGGCCACATAGAGCATCCAAATATGGCAGACTACTTATTCGGCCCGGGTTGAGTCGCAAGGAAGCGAGGCTAGTAAGGTCTCAGGTTTGCCTCGCGAGGGCAGCCCTTAGAAAGTAATTAGTCGCTGTCAATCTCCTCTGTTTTATTTCGCAGCACCTACGAATTTATGTGTTCCTGAGTGCCATAAAAAGTGAACATCTTCCACAGAAGAGAGGATTTTTTTGCTTCTCGCTCATGAGGAGAAAGAGTGAGTGCATGAAATTTTTCGAGAGAAAGAAAGGGAATTCGCTATCGTTAACATAACCTATTTCTTTTAAAAACGGGGTGTGAACTTTTCACAGTTTTAGCGCTCCAAAAAAACAGCTAGTTTTACCGTGTAAGAAAATAATCATAATAATAATTACCATCATAAAATACCAACTAGGAAAATAAAAATGTTAGGAATCGTTAATTGTTATCGAAACAATTATAATGTCAAAAGGGCTAAAGTTATTCGCTAAAATTGAAGTGAGATGATACGATAAAGTCGTTAAGCGGACGAGTTTTGTTTTCGCCGGTGATTTTCCAACTGGAATTGTTTGGTCAGTACCGTAACCAAGAAAAAAAATCCTAAAATTTGCCATTCTTTGGAAACAGCTAAGAAGAATTTAAAGATTCCTGCTAAATGGAATTCCACGGTTGTTGAGAAAGATAGATAAGTAAAACGATTGATCTGTGACTTTTATGTGAATAAAGACCTCCTAACTGCCTTTCATGTTTTCGTGTTAGAGAGAGCCGAACAATGTGGGTGACTTCGCGAGTCAAATGGCTCACCACATATGAAGACACACCAGCTGCCAAGTGGATAATGAATCTTGGAAAAAAAATTTTTTTCTTCCCCTTTTTCCTAAGAAAAAAGACGAATTTAGCCGTCGTCTTGGGCGTTAGAACGAGTGATATCTTCGACAAAAGATAGGATTTTACTTCAAGGAGAAAAAAGGCAAAGACTGCTAGAATAGTTTGTGATTTGTAACCTGGCAAGCGTATAAAGAATATTCCAACATCAGTTAATATTCTGATCAAAGAATACCGAAACGATATTCATAGACTAATCAAGGTGTTTCCTAGAAACAAAATTTTACTTCTAGATAGAAAGTGAACCTATGAATAAAATTGAAGATTTTTTTTCCTTTTTTTCTTCAAAAAGAGGCGAGTTCAGTAATCGTCTTGAGTGTTAGAATTAGTGATATCTTCAACGAGAGATAGGATTTTACTTCGAAAAGAAAAAAGTGTAAAGACTGCTGCGGAGCTTATGGAAGTCCTTGAATAGTTTGTGATGAACGTTAAAACGGACAATTGTTTAACGAATAACGAAAAATCAATTAATATTCTGATCGAAGTCGGAAAAAGACCGAAACGACATTCATAGACTAATCAAGGAGTTTCCTAGAAACAAATTTTTACTTCAAAGAAAAAGGGAAAGCTAAATGCAAATTAATGTGCAATTTTAAAGTCTTCCAGGTTGTTAATATTGACTCAAACACGTTTATCGTCTTTAATAACGGAATATTTGCTGCTTTAAATCGTCTGGTGTCTCCCTCTTTCTTTGATTATAAATGCTAGAACTGTGTAACAATTGATATGAACAATATAAAATATCTGAAAACATTGGCGACAAGATTTTCAAAGAAATTCTAGACTTAGAAGTTATTAGTATTAGCTGTAATAAAAAGAGGATTTTTTTTTCGTATAATCCAATTATTCCAATGTGAGCTCAAACGATACCTTTCCTCAGATTTTTAAAATTTAGAAACTACAAAAAACAGTGCCTCTGAAGTCAACCTAATTGATATCCTTTGGAGAAATAAGAATAACGAAGAATATCACAACATATTGTGATTCAATGAAATGCAAAATAAGTAGCCACTTGTTTTTTTACTTTACAAAAAAAAAAAAAAAAAAAAAAAAAAAAAACCTTCATAGGAAGATCGAGTAAACCCATTTGTTATAAGCTTTCTTTCAAATTGTTACTGTTATGGTGCCTTTGCCTTTCTTTCTGGGATAGCTTAAATTTATTAAATCATACAGTGTTAATGGCAAACATGTTCCCAAACAAAATTTCAGGATCAGTAAATAAACAGTTCCATCAAACAACGTGTCTCTTTTCAAATCGCGACCCCATAGAGCTGATTCGAAACGAGCAAGGGCCACGTCGCTGAAAATCAGCACCGAACATGCTGCAAGAAAAAAGATAACGAATAAGGACTTCTTGTTGTCTGTCCAAGCTCTCCAAGACCGTAACAAGAAACGTGAATCCATCGCGGCGTCTGATTTTGATGACATGAAATCCTCATTGTATTCAGCATTTTCTTTAGCCAAGGCTACGGAAACCAAATAGACGTCAATAGACATGGTTAAAAGCAACGCAGCTTTATGGACGGCTTGAAAAATGGCCGTTTTCGAGAAGCACCAAGGCCAAAAGATCATTGCGGAAGCGATGAATCCCAAAAAAAGCACCGCGTACAATTTATGTTCTGCATGTACTGAGGGATGTTGATAACACACTTTCATGATTGCCGTAAGGTTAGTAATTTGAAAAAACATCATGGACAAGGAAAGAACTCTCAAGACATTACAGGATTCCGTAGCTTGAGTACGGAAACCATTCCACCATTCCACGGCATCCGCGACCAGAATTACAACTTGGCAAGCGACCTGAAGACCTAAAAGTATCCAGCACTTTTTGAAAAATCTGTATTTTTTTTCATGTCTGAAGCAGCTCAGTAACAGTAGTCCGTTGAAAAAGATTGCGGCTAAATCCAGTACGAACATCAAAAGAAGAGTTGGCATGGCTAAGGACATGATGCGAGAGCGAAATCTTCTTCTCCTCGGTTCGTGTGGTTGAGTTGAGCTGTATTGACGTGTGTCTTGAGAGCACACATTTATCTTATCAGCATCGGGAAGGGCCGAGGGAGGTCTGAGCAAGAATGAAAAACATAGGAGCGGTTACCCGACCATGATTCTTATCTTACGCTTCTGATTTGTCAGAAACAAAAAAGGTTACGGGGTGCAAAATCAACGGCATTTTATGAAAAATGTGAGATTCCACTGTCTGAAAGGTAGACCTTTTGTTTAACGTGTAAGTGGAGTTAATGGTATTTCAATACACAGGCAGGCTTTGTTGCTATTTTCGGAGAGGTTTCTGTGTAACCCCTATGCTATTCTTAAACAAAGCATTAGTCCTAAAGGCAACTCTATTGTTTTCGCCATAGTTTCTTTTACCAAAACGAAGTTTGGAGCTGAACGTACATCTTGCCCATTTTTTTTCTTTCCTCTCTAATCAATTTTCGAACTGTTAAAAGAGAACTGTTTCTAGAAACTAAATAATTTACATATCCGCCTTCAAAACCATTTATGAAATTTAAATCTAAAATTCAAATAAATGCCCAAACGTGACCGTTCCAAAGCTGCATTCAATTGTAATACAAATCCGATTTAGCGACACTTTCATTCTTCAAAGGCTGTTGTTTTGGTTAATCCAATGTCGAATTCCTAATCAGGAAAATAATTATTTATCTTTTACTTCGCACGTTCAACTCTTCTTTCTTCTAAGGTGACCATAAGTGTCCAAAACTTCTATTTTTCATCCTCCGCACTGAATTCATAATCAGTTAACTTGCGTGAAGGGCGGTAGAACAACAGGAATCTAAGAGCAATTCAATATTAGTGTTAGAGAAAGCTATTTTTGTCTTCTAACACGATGATATTCATTATTTTGTTACTAGCTGGCCGAAAAGAAGTTACCCTAATGTTTAGATCTTCCTTAACCATATAGCCACTGTTGGGCAAACGAGTGACAAAGTTGGAGTCAAGATTCAGATAACTAGAAAGCGAATTTAAAAGATTGAAGCCGTTCAACAGGGTTAAATTAAAACGTTTGAAGACGATCGCCGTTGTAACTCAGGGAACCATGAGAATATTCATAAATTGCTTAAATAAAAAAACTATCCCCTAGCGATTTAAAGGCAGGTGAGATAAGAAGATGTCTCATCAGCCATCATAGAAACAACACATTAAATTACAGATTAAGTTAAAAAATTCAGAGTACCTAATTACGGGTATTAGGCTCCCCTGTTGAGCAAATCTTTCGAGGTAACCTGAAGCCATTACGAATTTGAGCTTTTTTGGATCCGCCAGGAGTTATTGGACCTGCAATGTTAGTTGAATGATTAAAAAGCCTCGCGTTTTCTAATGTACAATCGGCCCGTAAACCAATTGAAGAAGCTATAATCTTTGAAGCATCTTTCCGTGCATTTATAACCTTTCTTCGGCAATCCTTCGAGTAATCCTGCACACGACTAGTCTCGGGCCAGGAGTGGCCCTTCTGGTGGGAGTGTGATCACCAATATCGATATCTTGAATTGAAATTTCAACTCCTACAGCTTGAAAGAGGCTTCGACATAGTATTGTTGTGTCGGAAGAAAACTCACTAGCTTTTCTTTCAGGGAGACTAAGCCGGGATCTTTACGCTATATTGATAATTGTGGCGCTGAATCAGCTCGATGGATTTTTCTCTTCAATTCTTCTGGTCACGACATTCAGGAGAGACCAGAGCTGTTGCGAACTTTTGTCCGCTTCCTGGCGAGGGTCATCGTACGAATTACCATAGAATTGCAGAATATTCAAAGTCCCTTGCTGAAATATTGCCAGCCGACGCACTTCGCCGTCATTGCTAGAGACATAAACATCGATCATGCTACGTTTAAGAGAACTCTGAAAATCTTCGAAAGTTTTCTTCAGAGCAGCAATTTCGAATTGGGGGCTTTCACTCTCTTTTTTAGGCGAATTAACTGACGGATTAAGCATAGTTCGACATAAACATCTGAATCAGCGCTGAGCGATCAAAAATGCGTTCGCGCAACTCGCGTGCACGAACTTTATTTTGTATGAATAAGAAATAATTTTTGACACTGCTGGTGTCAGCCTATTTTTTCAGTCTTTCTTGGAAAAAAAGTTGCATGGATCCATTCATCTGTAGGTAATTCTCTCGTATGATGTATTACAGGATAGACGCCTAGATGACCTCGTCATTAACATACTGTTTTTCTTTGTTATCATATAGAACAAGATGAATTTATGTTGCCATGGGTCTACTCAGTCATATGTTAGAGAGGATATCAATATGCGGTAAGAGCATCAGTGACACTCTCACCTTCACCTGATAGGTCACTTTATTGTTCTTACAACATTTTGACACCAGGATGATAAATAATACTTAACAGAAACACCGCGGCAAAACGTATACGCATGCGTCAACTTCCGGCATTTGCGGTTGTGCACGCTATTTATGTGTTGTTCGGTTGTTCAGATTAATTGGCTAAATCTTCGGACAGAAAATACTTTCGGCCGGCGCATTTGCGGCCGCTTTTGTTGGCTTTGCACATTTTCCAGCGAAGGAACCGCACAACCAAACTAACGCAACAAAAATAACTACGTGAAAAGAAATTGCTCTTGTCGAGCGCGAACGCGCCCGAAATTTTTTCATATTTTTTTGTTGGTGCACACACCAAATCCCTTGGTGCTAGCATTTGAAACTTAAATGAAGAACAAACTTTTTTAACGAGACAAATGAGGAAAAGCTCGAGATTCTATCCCTGCAAACAATGTCTATGGCTTTATATATATTTGATATCTTTTTTTTCTAGGCTTTCATAACACTGGATCACTTTAAGACCTATTCCCGGCGAATGAACGTGCCCTTTGCATGACATTAAAGAAAATAGCGCGCTTGAAATGAAGGAATAAATTTTGTCGCAATAAATTTATAGTAATTCTATCTTTCATCTGCATCAATTTTTCAGCTCTGCTGAATCATAAGGGGAGCGACTTAATTCTACATGTCAGGTCAGGTTTTGCATATCGACGTCTTCTAGTAAAAAAATTATAAGATTAAGTTCTAAGCTTTTAAATTGGAACAGTAGAGAATTATCCGGTCATTAAGGTATCAAATCTAATTAGAATTTATGTAGTGACGTCAATCACTTTAACTAAAAGTAGGCGATTTTGGCTTCGCACTGACTATCGATTAAGTGTTTTGAAGTTACCTTCAATGGAAATAATTTTTGAAATAGGCGTCTAATTCTGATCAATTCAGTTCTTGCTTGCGATACTGATATTCTCAAAATAGAACCTTTTTTTAATATTTCATGTAAGGCAAAGTTAAACTTATTAAGTGATAGGGAGAAAATAAAATTAATTCAGGAAGAATTATCCAATTTTGTTGGTCCGTGCTTTTGCAAAACCAATAAACAGGCATTAAAGCATCTGATAAAAATGTATTAGGATACGTAACAAAAGCTATTTAAATAATTAGCTTTCACACAAACGGTAGAAGGGGCCAGGGGGTTTTGTAAGACCCCTTTGTAAATATAACGTTCCTTCTGAAAGTTTTTAAAAGTCCTCTCCCCTCTAAACAAGAAGACAATTGAAGAGTCCCGAACAGCCACCGAGAAGAACTTCAATGGAAACTTGGTTTTGGGTTTTCAGCTGGTTCCTCTGTATCCTAACGATGACTGGAAATGGATTTGTCATCCTCGTCTGCAACAAACGTCAGCTTCGCACGAAAGGCAATACATTCATCGTGTCTTAAGTGGTGGCTGATTTTTGTTATGGGATGATAGCAGCTCCTTCAGACTTTCTTTGCGACGTGATGAATGAGAGCAGCTCCGTTATAAAATCAAATTTGATTATAACACATATATGGGTTTTCATACTTCACGCCTCTGGAACAAACTTGATTACTTTAGTATCGGAACGATATATCGTCGTCGTGAAACCTTTGAAATACTTAACTTTTATGAAGCGCCACCTAGTCAATCAAATGGTTCTTATATCTTGGGGAATCCATTTTCTTTTCAATCTTATAGTATTGTCAAGAAACTCAATTCAGTCCATCGTATCAGCGGCTATTTGCATTTGTTTTTTGAGGTAAGCTTGTGCGTAATTTTATTATTTTACCTTTCGTCTATGCTTCTTGTCGTTCTCAAGCAAAAATCCAAAGATAACATTTTAGCTAAGCAATCGCGCTTTAATCAAATGGTCGCTGAGTATAAAGTTAAAACTCAGAACTCGTCCGCGGTAAAATGGGTCGCTTTGGTAATGATTGTATTTCTATCGTGTTACGGAATAATCATGCGCTGCAGTTTGTTAGTTTTGACAGGTCATCCATGTAATTATTTTCATTATAAAGGAACTTTACAAGCAATTAACTCTGGAATAAACCCTTTAGCTTACGCTTGCTTCAAAAGGGACATAAAACAAGAATGTAAAAGGTTTCTCTGTAGAAGACGTCGTTGATTTACTACAGAGCTGTTCATGCGCAAGAAAATGTTTATGTGTAAACGTAACTCTTCCCTTAGCTTCCGAGCCTGGATCCTAAGGTCATCCGGTTCAGGATCTGCGTTGTATTAATTCTTATCTCGATTGATGTTGAAACGAAAGACTTCCAATGAAACAAGGATAACTCATTTTTCTTGTGTAAGAGTCAGCTGTTCTGCGGCCTTTTTGTAATAGCGATGGATTCTTCAAAAAAACCTACGCATTTTGCAATAGCGGTTACGGAATTTTGTGATAACTTAGGCATTTCTTTTGTCTTCTAACGAGCGTGGGACAATGAAAAAATTCTGAGTCCTCACGAGGAATTGAAACTCAGAACTTCGGCCTCCGCGCTCCAATGCTCCAGCACTGAGCCACAGAGACTCCACGGTGAGAGAGGTCTCTTACGAAGTTCACATGACACGCGTCCTCCTTACCTCTGGGATCAGCAATGTCGATAGCGTAACTTTGTAGATCTCTCTTATTCTATCCACAAAGTTAGGCATTTTATATTATACATTTAGGTACTATGGTATTACGGTTATGCATGCAACTTTTTCAAAGCCTGATGGTAAACATAGCGGGGTAACTCAAGTTTGCAGTCTGAGATGTGACTGGTGAGACATTTTCTTTGAAAAAGAGGAGCAAAAATGGATTTGTGATGTGTTCTCCGCATGCAAATGACTCGGTACTATAACACTTTTCTAATTCATAAGCCCAAATATGAATTTTCACGATTAGTACATTTAGTAACCCTCTTTCCTCTGACAAAGAAAACAACTGATTTGGTTTCTTGGATGGCTCCTAACGTATAGAAAGTTATGTGTAAGTTGGTCGATGAAAATTTAAATTAAAAGCATGTCAATGCCATGACATCAATCGCTTAACACAGGATAAAAGCGAGAGATTTCGGCCAAAACTCACTGAAAAATAATTTTGGTATCATGTTTTTGTGATGGAAGATATCTGTTTTGCTACCATTTAAAAAAAAAAGTAGGTTAACTTTCATCATTTTCAGACTTTATTCTACACCATTATGCAAAACTAATAATGTGCCATAATTTTCGAGAAATAGCACACGTTGAATGGTCATTACATTACATTCTGATTGGCCTATGCTTCTCCGTCTGTCAAAGTGTCTAAAATATTTGTTTAAAGAATGATTGATGTCTGCCGCTTTAAACGTGACTTTACATAACAATGGCTATTGACGTAACTAACGTTTACACAAAGTGTAGCCCGATGAGACCAGATGGTTGTATAAAACACATATGCACACAATTTTTCCTTTGTATAACATTTGAAAACTCTCCCTGCTCTAAAAAATTAAAGCAATTGTAAAATCCTAGACAGCCATTCTTAAAAAAAAAAATTAATTAAAAAAAAAATAAATGAATGGTTCCTTTGCATCCTAAAGATGGCTGAAAATGGGTTTGTCATCTTCCTCGCCTGCAGTAAACGTCAGCTTCACACCAAAACCAACACATTATCGTGTCTTTAGCAGTGGCTGATTTTTGTGTCGGGATGATTGCTGTTGCGTCACCATTTCTTTGTAAAATGGAAAATAAGCGCATCTGCGATGAAAAAGCAATATTACTTATAATAAGTCTGTGGGTGTTCTTCATTTACGCTTCTGGAACAAACTTGTTTATTTTAGTATTAGAACGCTATGTCGCCGTCGTGAAACCTTTGAAATACTTGACTTTTCTGAAGCGCCGCCGAGTCATTCAAATGGTTCTTACCTCTTAGGGAATTGCTTTTCTTTTTCCTTTGACTGTATCGCTGCGATCGATTGGATTCAACTAAACTGATCATATCAGGACTATCACCGGCTACTTTTATTTGCTTTTCGAGGCATAACTTTAATCTTTTGTGTTGCATCGATGTTTCGTGTTGTTTACTGGCAGAATTCTTAAGATCGCTTTTTAATTTTGCAGTTGCAGTTTAATCAACGGGTCGTTAGTGGTAAAACTCGGAATATGTCAGCAGAAAAAGAGTAGCGTTGGTAACGCGCGTGTTTCTGTTGTTTTATTGAATACTTATCAGTTGTAGTTTTTCCGTTTTAATGGGTCGTCAGTGCACAGATTAACTTTGGATGAAATCCTATAGCTTATGCTTTCTTCAAAAGGGACATAAGGCAAGAATGTAAAACCATTCTCTTCAAGAGGCGTCGTTGATTTAATACCCAGCCCCTGTTCGTAAGTAAGAACTATTTCAGTTGATGCCTGAGTTGTTTTTTTTTTAATTTTTTTTTTTTTACAATACCGGTCTTGTTGAACCTTACCATGTTCGGATGTGGATCTATCTATGATACATTAATTTATCCTCATAAAATAAGTATTAAAAAAATACTAGTAAGAATGTGGGGTTTATTTCACCTAAATTTCCAAGATTTAAGACCACATATCGATGTTTTCGAAGTTTTTGCTGCCGCAGAGAGCTATTATGTAATGCTGGACTGAAATTTCAATCGTCGAATCCACGCGCAGCACGACAAAAAGTCACACTCTAACTTTACTAAGTTTTCAAAGCAGAGAAACACTTTGCACAGCTATTCACAGTCAAAAATAGGTGGAGGAGTTCGACGTAAAGATAAATTATATCTCAAGAAGTTGGTAAATTCTATCTTGCATCATAACTTCTGGGCACTGTGAAACAAAAAAGAATCTTCTGTCCGTAAGACAAAGTAATGACAAAGTCTATTTACATTCATGCCCTGCTCCAAACCTAGTCAATCTATTTCCAGTTTATCTTGGATCAAAAATCAAATGCCTTGGATAATTTTACTAAGTTATTTTCACTCCATGAAAAACATACATATATGTTCATATGCTACCGTTTTCAAACATGTTGCAATGTAAAAGTATATATGTATTGTATTGTATTGTAACTTTGGCAGCAGTTATTATATTTTCTTTTTGAAGATTATCTCTTTAATTCATTCCGTCAACACCTCTTTCATGGGAAAAGAAAAGGTGTATATTTTTCATATTTATTTTTTGATTACAACGCTTTATATATGTATATGTTTCCTTTTTTTCAACAATGCAAAAAGACCGCGAGGAGTGCCATTTCAAATTTTACTCAGAGTTATGTTATTTGGAGCTCTCACTTCCAGGGATTCGTATAATTGCTTTTGTCGTTGGTCTTGACTCGGATGATGAGATTTTAAGATAATCGGAGCAGCACCCATCACTTTCTGATTGGTTATACTCGTGAAAAATTAAAAGTTTTAGAATTTAAAATGCGCAAAAAGCGCATTTTAAATTCTAAAACTTTAACCGATTTTTTGGCCCAAAGATGTGAATTGAATAATGGTTTTGCTACAGAATTTAATTCTATTTGGGACGATATTCAATGATTTTTTCTTTAGTCTTAAAAATTAATCTGCCTTAAGCAAACCAATCTTTGACCAGCTGAATGCTCTGAGATATAATTGCTATTTAAGGAAACAACATTCTACTAATAGCGTTAAGAACTAACTTGAAACAATGAGCTAGTTCTCATGAAAAATGCATGCAAATGAAACCATATGGTTCAGAAAAATAACTAACGCTTCATTAAAACTCAATAACACCTTCTTGCAGATTTCAAATACGTGCAAATTGCTTGGAAGCCAGAAAAGAGGAAATTTAGGCAATGGAAACGTGGTTTTGGGTTCTCGCCTGCTTCCTTTCCATCCTCACGATGGTTGGAAATGGATTTGTCATCTTCCTCGTCTGCAGAAGACGTCAGCTTCGCACCAAAACCAATACATTCATCGTTTCTTTAGCAGTGGCTGATTTTTGTGTCGGGCTGATTGCTGTTCTTTCACCTTTTGTATGCAACCTTGCAAATTGCAACCCACCAAATATAGAAGGATTGCTTGTGCTGTATATAAGAATATTCATAGTCTATGCATCTGGATCAAACTTGCTTAGTTTAGTTCTGGAACGCTACATCGCCGTGGTGAAACCTTTAAAGTATTTGACTTTTGTAACGCGCCGCAGAGTCACTCAGATGGTTGTTATTTCTTGGGTAATTCCTCTCGTAGTGATTGTCATAGCAGTGTCGATCGAAAGAATACTAAATGCCGAAGAAATTCCATTCCATGTTACCCTTCTTATTAACAGTTTATCATTTATGTCTTTCGAGGTTATCCTTTCTATTGTTTTTCTTTTCTGCGTTCTGTCTACCTTGTTAGTTGTTTATAACAACCGTCAAGGTCGTAGTGTAGTTAAACGGCTGCAGCATAACGTCCTCAACCAGCGGATCAAAATTAAAACTCAAAGCAACTCGGCAATCAAAATGATGATTATAGTTACAAGTGTGTTCCTGTTATGTTTCGGATTGCTTATGCGTTGTAGTATCTCAGTCTTACATGGTAACAACGATTGTAACGATTTCCATTACAAAAAAATGCCGCTGCAGGTGGTTAACTCTGGAATAAACCCTTTAGCTTACGCTCTTTTCAAGAGAGACATAAAAGCAGAGCTTAAAAGAGTATTCAAGAAACGTCAGTAGCTGTAGAAAAGTGGAGATAGCAGCTAAATGCTGGGAATTGGACTTGGTAGATAAGGAGCCCCGAAGGGAAATAACATTCTTATTTTTATCAATGGAAGGGATCAAAGCTTATAATAATCTAGACAAGAAGGGAGAAATAGGATTGATTTGCCTGAAAACAGAAGAAAGATGATAGATAAGTCTCGCGTAAAATGACCAAAAGTGCCGTCCAAAATGCTGTTGAAAATCCATGTGATGCTCCCCCAAGTAATCAATGTCTTAGTTCAGAAATCAACGCAAAAAGGGAGATAATTGTTTTTTCTGCCTTGATTTCTTTAGTATTTGAACACCACGTAAAGTCTCCTTGTTGTTAGAGTAGAAAAAAATAAACTTCCTTGTTAACAGAGCTGATAATTTTCTTTTATCCTTACAGCTGGCAATGGTTTCAGTAGTCAGGGAGATTTACAAGAATTATTTAACAAATAGAGAAGCCTTGTATGTGCTCTGTTCTGTTGCAAAGCACTCAGGAAGTGCCGAACAAAGCACGAAAGAAGTGAAACGAAAAACGCTCGTCTCGCGTTTCTCCTCGCATCTTGTTCAGCTCTACTTTCGTTACTTGCCAGCTCGCTTGATCAAAAATTTCACTTTCAATCAGCGAAAAAAGCTAGTGAGAAGTTCTGGAAATGGTCAGACATATTACAGTTCCGCGGATGGCGTGACAGCTTTAGCTCAGCTCAATGCTTTGTACTCTGATAGAGCACGCTCTTTCAACCAGTGATAGCGCGCGTTATATCCGAACTTTATTATAAAATTAAATGACCCACATAGTTTCAATTTTGTCCATCAGTCAAACGATGTGATAAAGCCATACAAAAGGATAGACCAAGCTGAGGCACTTAACAGGCTCATGTTTTTGAAATGGGCCTTTTGAGCAATAATTATGATGAGAGCCTGAAAATCGAATTCCCCATATATTGGGTTCTTGTGAATTTTAAAAGTTTAATACGTGCAGAAAATTACATGGATTTTAATAAGCTCGTCGTATGACTGACTTATAAATGAAAATCAGTTTTTTGAAAGAAGATATTAAAAAGGAGATTTCTCATCTAAAAACTACCCAAAACAAATTAACCTCCGAAAAATTCAACTTGGATTTATGATTGATCCAATGGGCAGTTTGCAGCGTATCAATCTTTATGCCTAGAACTTCCTCTTCTTTTCCTCCATGTGGTATGCATCGACCTGTTTAAATTCTTGGGCAGCCCTATTTCGTACGTACTGCTCCACCAGTTTGGGTATAGCCAGTCTTCTGACAGCTTTGGATGTCAGTAGATTGGCTAATCTTGAAGCTAATCTTGAAGCACTCGCCATATGTTCTTGTACCTTCGATATCTTTTGGAAAGCAACTTGGTTATTGTGTTCTCCAATTTTCCACTTAAAATGGCACTGTGCTTGAAAGTATCATTTTAGCCTTTACATCGACTCAGTACATTGTTATCGCGTCTCCTTTAAATTACTACCGTTCAGTGACATGACAGAAAGCTGACCTTCATTTAGCGATGATCTGGTGTCTTGATTGGGTAGTGGTTTGGGTTGCAATTCATCTCATCATCCAACACTATGTCTTTATTGTAATCGATATCAGTATCTAAATCACTTTGCATCTTATACAAAGAAAAGTAAAATGGCCAAAGGATATTCACTTTAAGGGAAAGCTGAAACATCAGAGAGAGGAAAGATTTCCAAATCAAGTTCGGCATGGTAGGTTTGAATTTCAAGCTTCTCGTCAGAATAACTGTATGTGCTTTATCGCCCACTGTACAAAAAAACAGAACCAATATGCTCTCTCGGTATAGAGCTTGATTGACTATTTGAGTTCAATTAGTCTGCTCTATATAAAATCGTAATGAATCTGTTTATCAACGAATTGTACAGAGATTGTCCCCGCATAATTCACTGCCCCTACAGACTAACTGTTCAGAGATCATATTGAGCTAAAAAGGGTAATCTAGAATTCTAATTAATGAATCTTTGCCTATATGACTGGTGGATCTCATGTAACCATAATAAAGAGCTTCTCTCAGCGAATTAGAATACAGGTTTTCCATAAAAATGCGCCGGAATTATTTTTGTGTTATAAAATTGCGAAATCCCAGCTTGCATGTGTGTATTAGTTCCTGAGCACTGTTGAAACAAAAAGGGGCTTGTATTAAAGTTCATATGGCAACCAGGTGGACAATCAGACATTGTTTGATGTTACTCTGGTTTAAAGATTTAATGAATGTAACCAAAGAAGTTACAATTCATAGACCCAGCGTTTCGACACTCCTGTCTAGTGCCTTCATCAGGGGTGATCCAAACGCTGCAACAAGAGGTCCTTTTATACAATCACTAATTAGCTGCCTTTTTTGAAGCTAATAAGTGACCGTATGAAAGGACCCTTGATGCAGCGTCAGATCACCCCTGATGAGGGCACTAGACAGGAGTGTCGAAACGTTGTGTCTATGTACTGTAACTTCTTTGGTTATATTCATTAAATCTTTAAACCAGAGTAGTATCACACTATGTCAAAAAAGGGGCTTCTTTTCACAGGCACAACCAAAGTTTATATTGCAAATCATGTCTATTTATATTTCGTGTCGATCTATATTTCAAATCATGTCTATCTTATGATATATTCTATATTTCTTTTCCTGTAGGATCAGAAATTTTCAAGTTGGAACTGCTGAGAAATAGTCTCGTTTTGTGCAGAATCCGCTCCATTTATTCCAAATCTACCCTCACTCAAAATACTCCTTTCGTTTTTTGAGATTGCAATAGGGAAATAATTTAAGTGTCCGCTATCACTTATTATATTATAAGCTCAGTTATGCACGCATTCTGATTGGTTCTCACTTATGATCTATTGGAGGACAGACGTATAGATGACGTCATCATTAAAACTTTTTAAATTCTTTATTATATAAAACAAATAGATTCCAAGTTGCCGTGCGTCTGTTCAGTAATAGATCACTGAGGACGTCAAAATGTGGTAAGAACATCAGTGACACACTCTGGCTGCGCCTCGTGTGCCACTTTTTCTGTTCTTACCACATTTTGACGTCATTTGTGATCTATTACTGAACAGACGCAAGGCAACTTGGAATCTATTTGTTAAAGAGGCAACATCTCTCAGGATTTGCTCCGTCATAATTCTCAGGTCGAGCCATTTATATGAAAAGTGAACTATAGAAATCTATATAAGTCTTTGTGTCAAATCGTATGGTAAACATTAAACGGGGTAACTCGCGCTTGCAGTATTGCATGCGACAACTAAAAAATAGAGAGAAGTGAAAATGGCTTTAAGGTCAATAAGTCTGGAGATTGCAAGTACTTGACATAGTATGGGACCCGATCATAAAAGTCATAATTGGCTTAATGAAGTAACTTGAAGGTGGCAGTTGGTTTTATGAAAAGGCGTTGTTCCAAGCAGCTGGGTAACCTTACATGTGTGAACACAAATATGAATGCATACAGCTATTACTTCTCAAAACCCTCTTTACTCTGGTAACTCAAATAATGCAAAAAAAATGTCCTGGTCTAAATTCAATAGAAACTTAAAAGGTGTTTGTTTCTCGGCTGTTTCCGAACCTGGAAATCATAGGACATTAGGTGAGGTTTTATCAAGGGATCATGTGGTTTTATCAAGAGATCTCGAGAGTTGTAAATTGTGTTGACAGGTTTCTAAAGCTGACGTTTCAAGCGTTAACCCTTCGTCTTTGGCCAATTGGCATTATTTATTCAGTTGATGAAACAAAGCTTGCTCACTTTGATATTGTTTTGCAGAATAGAAGGAAGCAAAATGGCTTTGTAATATTTTTGGACTAATTTATTCGTTGTGAGAAAACAAATCGGCTCAGTCTTCAGGCTCAATCAGCCTAAAGTGAGATAGTACTCGACAAATTGTTGGAGAAATCATGAGATTCCTACAACAAAATAAATTTCATTAATGGCTTGATAAAGAAGCAACTCCGGAAAGAAAAGTGAAGGTTACAGAAGGGTTTTAGTAAAATTGTGGGTCGAAGCAGCTGGTTCCATAAAACTTTTAGAGACTGTAAGATGCTAGTTGGTCGATGAAAAATATAATCATTCGAAGAAGCAGGTTATCAAAATTCAGTTTGAATTTCTGATGTAAGGTCAATCATTTGAAAATCAAAGGAGGCGAGTTTTGCTTAACGTTGAAAAAGGGGTCAGTTCATTAATTTACCTCTAATTTGTTCTTCTATGTAACACTATTGTTTTCAAAACAGCGTAATGTAGTAATTTTCTTTTCTGTAATATTAAGTTGAATTACGCTCGAATTTTGATTAGTTAACTCTATCGTATGATCTATTGCAGGACAGACGCATAGATGACGTCATCATAACCATGCTATTTTTCTTTGTTATCATATAGAACAAAAGGAATTTATGTTGCCATGGGTCTACTCGGTCATATATCACAGAAGACGTCAATATGCGGAAAGAACATCGGTCACACTCTCAGCTTCACCTCGTATGCCACTATTTTGTTCTAACAACATTTTGACATCATGATCATAAATGTTACTCCAGAGAACAAGGAGCCTTAGGAAAAGTGGATACCCTTATATCCTGCCACGTGTCAGGAGTGAACGTCATAAACGCTGTTTTGTAAACAGATGCCTTTTCAGTTTGTTATTCATACATTCGTAAATAGTTCGTAATTAGCTTTTTATTGCGGTTATATGGAGTCAAGACGTATGACCTTGGACACGTTTCCTTTGGTATTTATTACTAAATAGACGGTATCCCAGACCCTGCATTTTCGGTTCCAAGACTTGCACTCATTAATTGGTAAATGGGCTCCACGTTGAGAAAACTTATTTAACGCAGGTAGTATTGTTACTCACAATAAGAAACCGACATTTCTTGACACATAATTAACATAAAAACATACTTCATCAGTTTGAGTTCGAAACAAACGTGCTCTGTACGAATCGCATTAAATGGTCAGCTACGAAACGATCCTTGGAAAGAAAAGACAGGTAACCGAACAGTGTCACTAACCCAACTATCTGTTAAATGCTTGGCGAGTTCTGAAGTAACCCAAAACCTCTTTGGAAAATTCTATGCAGCTGCAGACGAATTGTTGACATACAACGTCAAGCTGGAAGAGAGGAAAAGCTGAATATTTTAATCGTGCAAAAGATGTCTATGGATTTTATATATTTTTGCTAGGCGTTCATAACAGCGGATCACTTTAAGACCCATTCCCGGCGAATAAACGTGCCCTTTGCATGACATTAAAGAAAATAGCGTGCGTGAAATGAATGAATAAATTTTGTGCAATAAATTTATAGTAATTCTATCTCTCATCTGCATAAATTTCTCATCTCTGCTGAGACAAAAGGAGAGCGACTTAATTCTACATGTCAGTTCAAGTATTGTATATCGTCGTTTCCTAGAAACAAATTAGATGATTAAGTTCCTATTTTCTTTCCTTGATATTCAAGACTTTTAAATTAAAACAGTGTAGAACTATCCAGTGATTAACAATGTCAAATTTACTTAGAATTAAATTATTTTGAAGTTACCTTCCATGGAAATATATATATATTTGTTGAAATATGGGTCGTATCTTCATCAATTCAATTCTTGTTTGCGATACTGACATTCTGAAAAAAGGAACCGTAATGTAAAGTAAAATTAAACTTATTAAATGATAATGGAAAAACAATTTAGGAAAAATTGTTCAATTTCGGTTGGTCCGTGCTTTTACAAAACTAATAAACAGGCGTCAAAGCATCTGACAAAAACGCATTAGGATAGGGGTATGTTTTCACTCTTAATTGTGGAAGAACATAACAGGCTATTTACTTAATTATATTTTACACAAGCGGTAGATGGGGCCAGAAGGTTTTGTAAGACCTCCTGTAAATATAACGTTCCTTCTGAAAGTATTTAAAATTCGTCTTTGCTCTCAAGAAGAAAACAATTAAAAAGTCCCGAACAGCCACCGAGAAGAACTTCAATGGAAATTTGGTTTTGGGTTCTCAGCTGGTGCCTCTGTATCCTAACGATGGCTGGAAATGGATTTGTCATCTTCCTCGTCTGCAGGAAACGTCAACTTCGCACGAAAAGCAATACATTCATCGTGTCTTTAGCAGTGGCTGATTTTTGTTATGGGATGATAGCAGTTCCTTCGGAATTTCTTTGCGACGTGATGAATGAGTGTAGCTCGGATAAAAAGACAAATATGGTTATAACATATATATGGGTTTTCATACTTTACGCCTCTGGAACAAACTTGATCACTTTAGTATTGGAACGATATATCGCCGTCGTGAAACCTTTGAAATATTTGACTTTTATGACGCGCCACCGAGTAATTCAAATGGTTCTTATATCTTGGGGAATTCCTTTTCTTTTCAATCTTATAGTATTGTCGATGAGACTCAATTCAGTCCATCGTATTAGCGGCTATTTGCATTTGTTTGTTGAGGTAATCTTGTGTGCAGTTTTATTATTTTGCCTTTCATCTATGCTTCTTGTTGTTTACAAGCAAAAATCTAAAGATCGCACTTTAGCTAAACAATTGCGCTTTAATCAACTGGTCGCTAATCATAAATTTAAAACTCAGAACTCGCTCGCGGTAAAATGGGTCTTTTTGGTAACGATTGTGTTTCTATCGTGTTATGTAATAATCATGCGCTGTAGTTTGTTAGTTTTGACAGGTCATCCATGTAATGATTTTCGTTATAAAGGACCTTTACAAGCGATTAACTCTGGAATAAACCCTTTAGCCTACGCTTTCTTCAAAAGGGACATAAAACAAGAATGTAAAAGGTTTCTTTTTAAAAGGCGTCGTTGATTTACTACAGAGCTGTTCATGAGCAAGAAAATGTTGAGGTATAAAAGTAACACTTCCCTTAGATCCCGAGCCTGGAGCCTAAGGTTATCCGGTTCTGGATCTTTCTGTGAGGTATAAATTCTCATCTTAATAGATGTTCTAAGGTTTCCAATGAAACAAGGATAACTCATTGTAATTGTGTAAGAATGTAGTTGTTCTGCCGCATTTTGTAATAACGACAGATTCTGCAGTTGCAGTTTAATCAACGGGTCGTTGGTGGTAAACTCGGAATATGTCAGCATTAAATAACGTTGGTAACGCGCGTGTTTTTATTGTGTTACAGAATACTTATGAGTTGCAGTTTTTCCGTTTCAATGGGTCCTCAGTGCACAGATTAACTTTGGATGAAATCCTATAGCTTATGCTTTCTTCAAAAGGGACACAAAGCAAGAATGTAAAAGGATTCTCTTCAAGATGCGTCGTTGATTTAATACCCAACCCCTGTTCGTAAGCAAGAACTATTTCGGTTGATGCCTGAGCTTTTTTTTTTAATTTTTTTTTTTACAATACGTCTTGTTAAACCTTAGCATATTCGGTTGTGGATCCATCTATGATACATAAATTCTGATTTTAATTCATGGTTAGTTCAAAAGATCCCAATAAAATAAATATTAAAAAAAATAATAAGGTGAAAGAATGCTGAGTTTATTCGACCTAAATTTGCAAGATTTTAGACCACATATCGATGTTTTTGAAGTTTTTGCTGATGCAAAGAGCTATTACGTAATGCTGGACCGAAATTTCAATCGTCGAACCCACGCGCAGCACGACAAAAAGTCACGCTCCAACTTTGCTAAGTTTTCAAAGCAGCGAAACACTTTGAACAGCTATTCACAGTGAATAAACGCACGCCTTGTGTGACAGTCAAAAATAGGTGCAGGAGTTTGAGGCAAAGATAATTTATGTCTCAAGAAATTGATAAATTCTATCTTGTGTCTGCGTTAACTTCTGGGCACTGTGAAACAAAAAAGAATCTTCTGTCCATAAGACAAAGTAATGATAAAGCCTATTTCAATTTATGCCCTGCTCCGAATCCGGCCAATCTATTTCCAATTTACCTTTGATCAAAAATGGATCGTAATATTCACTACTATTCCTCTTAAATACCTTGCATAGTTTCACTAAGCTACTTTCACTCCATGAAAAACATACATATATATTGATATGCTACCGTTTTCAAACATACTGCAATATGAAAAAATATATATATTGCAAGTTTGGCAGCAGTTATTATATATTTATTTTTAAAAAAATCTCTTTAATTTATTCTATCAACAGCTCTTTCATGGGAAAAGAAAAGGTGACTATTTTTCATACTTATTTTTTCAAATTGCAATGCCTTATATATGTATACATGTTTCCTTTTTTCCAACACTGCAAAAGGACCGCGTGGAGTGCCATTTCTAATCTTACTCAGAATTGTGTTGTTTGGAGCACTCACTTCCAGGGATTCTTATAATTGCTTTTGTCGTTGGTCTTGACTCGGATGATGAAATTTTAGTAAAATCAGAGCAGCACCCATCACTTTCTGATTGGTTATACTCACGAAAATTTACTAAAATATGTAAAACTGCGTGCTCAAAAAGCGCGTTTTAAAATCTGAAAGTTTAATCGATTTTTTGGCCCAAAGATGTGAATTGTATAATGGTTTTCCTGTAGAGCTGAAATCTATTTGGAACGATATATTCAATGACTTTTTTCTTCAGTCCTAAAAATTAATCTGCCCTAAGCAAACCTATCTTTGACCAGCTGAATGCTCCAAGATATAATTGCAATTTAAGGAAACAACATTCTTCTAATAGCGTTCAGAACTAACTTGAAACAATCAGGTAGTTCTCATGAAAAATGCATGCAAATGAAACCATATGGCTCAGAAAGATAACTAACGCTAACTCAAGAACACCTTCTAACAGCTTTCAAATACATGCAAATTGCTTGGAAGCCAGAAAGGAGAAAATTTAGGCAACGACAACGTGGTTTTGGATACTCACCTTCCTTCTAATAATTAGAAATGGATTTGTCATCTTCCTTGTCTGCAGAAGACGCCAGCTTCGCACCAAAACCAGCACATTCATAGTGGCTGATTTTTGTGTCGGGATGATTGCTATTCTTTCACCTTAGATTTGCAACCCTGCAAAATACAACCCACCAAGTATAGCAGGATTGCTTGTGCTGTACATAGGAACATTCATAGTCTATGCATCGGGATCAAACCTGCTTAGTTTAGTTCTGGAACGCTATATCGCCGTGGTGAAACCTTTGAAATATTTAACTTTTATAACGCGCCGCAGAGTCACTCAGATGGCCATGGTTGCTATTTCTTGGGGAATTCCTCTCGTAGTGATTGTCGTAGCAGTATCGATCGACAGAATACTAAAGATGGCGTGACAGCTCTATCTCAGCTGTATGCTTTGTACTCTGATAGAGCACGCTCTTTCAACCAGTGACTAAAAGGCAATCTAGAATTCTAATTAATGAATCCCTGCCCATACAACTAGTGGATCTTCTGTAACCATTATAAAGAGCTTTTCTCAGCGAACGAGAATGCACGTTTTGCACCTGTGTATTAGTTTCTGAGAACTGTTGAAATAAAAAGGGGCTTATATTAAAGTTCACATGGCAACCAGGTGGACAATGAGACATGGGTTAATGCTACCTTAAAGATTTAATTAATATTACCAAAGAAGTTACAATTCATAGACCCAACGTTTCGACACTCCGATCGTGTCTAGTGCCTTCATTAGGGGTGATCTAAACACGGCAACAAGAGGTCCTTTTATACGATCACTAATTAGCTGCCTTTTTTTAAAGCTAATTAGTGATCGTCTAAAAGGACCTCTTGTTGCAGCGTTCAGATCACCCCTGATGAAGGCACAAGACAGGAGTCGAGTCATTTATATGAAAAATAAACTATAGAAATATGTCATTGTGTCAAATCTTATGGTAAACATCAAACGGGGTAAACTCGCGTTTGTAGTAATGCATGCTATAACTAAGTGTCTATCTTAAAAATAGAGAGAAGTGAAAATGTCTTTATGGTCAATTAGTTTGAAGATTGCAAGTTCTTAACATAGTGTGGTACCGATGATAAAAGTCAGAAATGGCTTAAAGAAGTAACTTGAAGGTGGCAGTTGGTTTTATGAAAAAGCGTTGCTCCAAGCAGCTGGGTAACCTTACATTTGTAAACCCAAATATGAATGCATACAGCTACTACTTCTCAAAACCCTCTTGACGCTAGTAACTCAAATAATGCAAAAACTGTCCTGGTCTAAATAGAAAGTTGAAAGGTTTTTATTTCTCGGCTGTTTCCGAACCTAGAGATCGGAGGACATTAGCGGAGTTGGTCTATTAAAGATGTAATCATTTAAAAAAAGCAATGATTAAAGGAATATAAATATAAAAGGGGGTGAGTTTGGCTTTACACTCACCGATCAACAATTTTGAAATGATCACAATTATAAACGTTTGTCGTAAACGGTGCATGCATCTGAAAAAAAAACCAATGGACAGGGCTCAAACTCTGTGCGTCTAAGCGTCTTCTGGAACAAACCTGTTTAGTTTATCAATGGATTTCATTTAGTATGTCTTGCATATTGTGACAAAATAAATTCTCCATTCCCTTCCTTAAAAATGACCATCACAATCACAATATGCATGGTAGAGCACCATCTTCGTTCTATTCAGAATCCGCCAAAAATATTGCCCCTAGGCAAAATTCCATCAAGTGGTTTCTTCCCTCCTTTTGTTGGAAAAAGAGAATTCAACTTCCGTACAAATGGCAAATGGTTGTCCTATACCAACGGAAAATTTATAATAGATATCAAATTCTTTTGCGTCAAGTAATATGTAAAACATACAGCGAAGTAACTCGCGTTTGCAGCCTCTATGTGACCAATACCAAATTGAACATGGCGGTAAATTTCTAAAGAAACTGTGTTGCTGTGTACGTGCGGGGTATAGCACAGTAATGAGGTTTTATCAAGAGACCATGGGGTTTTCTTAACTGTGTTGATGAGTTTTCTAAAGCTGACGTTTCGAGAGTTAGCCCTTCGTCTTTTCACTCGAAGAAAAAATTTCATAAATGGCTTGATAAAGAAACAACTTTAAAAAGAAAAGTGAAGGTTACAGAAGGGTTTTGGTGAAAATTGTGGGTCAAAACAGTTGGTTCTATAAAACTTGGAAGAATGTGAACAAACGTGAACAAACGTGAACAAACATTAATTTATTTATCTACTACTCCGCGAAGCCCTCACTTCTCTGACAAAGGATAATAATCTGAGAAATATCCGGGTATTAATTAAACTCCAAGGGTTTGATTTCTCGGCGGTTTCCTAACGTAGACACTGTAGGATGCAAGTTGGTCGATGAAAAATATGATCATTAGAAAAGCAAGATATCAAAATTCAGTTTAAATTTCTGATGTAATGTCAACCATTTGAAAACCAAAGGGGGCGAGTTTGGCTTCAAGTTGAAATAAGGGTCAGTTCATTAATTCTCCTCTAATTTGTTCTTCTTTGGAGAAAACGTTCGGTTTTTTCTTTAAATTTCTGATTGGTCCATGCTTCTTGAAAGCAATAAACAGGCTTCAAACTCTGCGCGTCAAAGCGTCTGACAAAAAAAAATTAAAAGGAGATTGATGTTTGCAGCCTTAATTGGACCTAACATAACAATGTCTAGTGGCCCAATTGGCTATTACTAAAAGATAAGATCTCAATTGCAACATCTACACAATTGTTTCTTTTCAATGCTCCTCACTCTAACGAAGAAAGCAATTGAATATTCCCAGACGCCTATCATGAAGATCTTCAATGGAAACGTGGTTTTGGGTTCTCGGCTGGTTTCTTTGCATCTTCACGATGTTTGGAAATGGATTTGTCATCTTCCTCGTCTGTAGTAAGCGTCCACTTCGCACCAAAACCAACACATTCATTATGTCTTTAGCTGTGGCTGACTTTTGTGTCGGGATGATTGCTGCTCCTTCACGTTTTCTGTGCAAAATAGAAAACGAGTGCATCTCCGATAAAAAGCAAGATTTCTTGTAATAAGTACGTGGCTGTTCTTCACTTACGCTTCTGGAACAAACTTGGTTTTTTTAGTTTTAGAACGCTATATCGCCGTCGGTAAACCTTTGAAATACTTGACTTTTATGAAGCGCCGCCGAGTCATTCGAATGGTTCTTACATCTTGGGGAATTCCTCTTCTTTTCTCTTTAACTGTATCGTTACAAGCGATTAGATTCAATTCAGATGATCGCATCAGGACTGTCCCAGGCTATTTTTGTTTGCTCTTCGAGGTAATGTTGTGCATGATTTTAACATTTTGTCTTGCATCAAAGTTTCTTGTTGTTTACAAGCAGAAATCTAGAGATCGCACTTTAATTATGCATTTGCACTTTAATCGTCGGGGCCACTAGAGTTAAAACTCGGAATATGTCAGCAGTAAAATGGGTGGCATTGGTAACGCGCGTCTTTCTATCGTGTTACAGAATACTTGTGCGTTGAGGTCACAAATGTATTGACGATTTTCATTACAAATTACCTGTACAAGTTATTAACTCTGGATTAAATCCTATAGCTTACGCTTTCTTCAAAAGAGACATAACCCAAGAGTTTAAAAGGCTTCTTTTCAAATGGAGGCGATGATTTACCACAGAGCATTTGTTATGCAAGATAACCTTCGGAATCTCGAGTGTGGATCCGTCTGCGTTGTATTGATTCTTATCTTAACTGATGTTTTATGTACGTTACACCAAACGATGAATTACTCCAGAAGTCTTAAAGTCATGTTTGTATTGGGTGACTCTCAAGGAAATTGTTAATGACAAGCACAAGTAATCCTATACCGTTAAGTTTTCTTCATAAGCCATCACGACAGGCTTTTAGTTTCTGCTAGTGTGTTGGAAAAGTGGCGCACTCGTTAAGGAAAAGATGATAAAGTATATTAGGATTTACAAGAAGACAACCTAAAATGAACTTGTTATAGTTCACACCTGGTCTTTCAGCTATAATATGACCATTACAAGAACATTCGCAATTACGGTTTTTCTTACCCTCTGACGTACACGCAAACTCTTACGCCCACCTTGGTACAGTGGACGGTAGCGAGGGGGAAGGGGGCGGAACCCCTCCCTTATCGAGTGTTTTGGGCACGTTGCGATGTTTTAAAAAGTTTTTATCGCAGGTAGGTAGCCTATTACGTCCCCTGCAAGGTAATGTTAATATTCTAAGATAAATGTGCAAATGGCACTGCTCGTGTGTGTGACGTCATCCAACATGGAATTTTCACTTTTTTCACAAAACTTTTGGGCTTGCCAAAATAAATCTACAGTAGCTATTAAAATAGAAGGGGAAAATAGAAACAAGACTCAGAAATTAAATTATAGGCTTCTTGTGCTTCCCTTTTCAATTTCAAAGCTTTTCAAAATTTTCGTAGCTCATATCAACCCTCAAAGTACACCTCACATGTCATTTAATATCTACAATATCTATGAGCCAATTTTCACCAGACTCACAGCAGATGTGTCCCTAACATAAGCAAACAGCTATTGAGGTGGACAATTTCCTAGATAAAGAGATGAAAAATAAACCAACTGGAGCTCCGCTTTTAGACTCAGCTGAGCCGCTACGTTACACGGTAACCTCACCGCCTTTTAAGAACGGCCATCTAAAAAACATCTTTAGTTGTCCTTTCAATCTAACTTTACTCCACAATGATCTGGGGCCGTTATTGGGTGGTTGGTGTTCTAGTTATCATTGATCACATTATCCAAAGCTATTTCAGTTCATTTTAATCTCTACCTGCATCTAAATCACGTTACAAGGAGAGCAAGAAACGGCTGAGAGAAGTAAACACTTCCAAGTGCAGTACAGCTCTGTGTGATTGAACTTCATGCTCCTTATCGTGATAATTGTAGGTAAAATATCCTTTACCTGTTTTTACTACCATGGACAAAGAAAATGCTCTATCAATTTAGAGCCTTATTAACGTTTTGATTGCATTCAATCTGAATAATTTTTGTCTCATCAAAATTTGTTTAATCTTTCATCTGCGTCAAATTTCAGCTCTGCTAAAATAAAAGGAGCCTCATTTTACAAGAAACGACTTGTTTGTATGATTGGTCT